TACCAGAGATGGAGTCCCTCCTGTGAAACAGGCTTAAAAGACATTCAAAGTAGTTCATTACCCAAGTAGCTGTCATTCTGCTATTGCAACCTTAGGTAAATATTTTGTGACATGCCAATAATGTAGATTACAGGGTTCATAGTTGCATAAGACCATTAATAACATTTTTTTTTCTCCAGTAGCCTGAATAGCACCCTTTGGCACTATGAAAGGTAGCTAGCAGGTAAGACACTTTCAGCTCACTGCCAGCTTGATTCCTTGAGGTTTGGTGACAAAAATATCATAGTATTGGATGTCTTTAGCAGTAGGGGTTTAATTTCTAGTTCTGGTGCATAACCAAGGGCAATATTTGGGAAACCACTGGGACTTCTTTGATCAACAACTCATAGCGAGGTATCTGATGTCTGGCACTAAGATGTGTGTGGGTGGGGGGTGTTCCTTATTTCATTTTAAATGGTTTGTTTTAGTTTTAAGTGTGTGTGTGTGTGTGTGTGTGTGTGTGTGTGTGTGTGTGTGTGTGTGCACAAATGAGTGCAGATACTTTTTGAGGCAAGAGACATCATATTCCTCTGGATGTGGAGTTATAGGCATTTGTGACCTTCCCAATACAGCTACTGGGAACTGACCTTAGGTCTTCTACAAGAGCAGTATTCACTCTTAACCACTGAGCCATTTCTCCAGCCCCTGGGGTTTTCATTTAATAACCTCTGGCTTATAGAAATAGCATTATTTGTATATGAAGGTTATCTATCTGTATTCAAACACTTTCAAAAATTTTATTTTTAATTAGCTTATAAAATAGGTTTTTATGTGACTTTTTTAAAAAAAAATATTTATTTTACATCCCTGTCACAGTTTCCCCTCCCTCCTCTCCTCCAAGTCCCTCCCCCACCGTACCCTCTGTTCCCAACCCCCAATCCCCTCCTCCTTCGTTTATGTTTAGGAAAGGGCAGGTCTCCCATGAGTATTAACAAAACATGGCATATTGAGTTGCAGTAAGACTAAACACCTCCCTGTAAGTGGAGTTTTCCTGTCCCGGGGCCACTTCCAAAGTACCACACAGAGATTTATATTAATTGTAAATGCTCAGCCAATAGCTCAGGCTTATTACTAACTAGCTCCTACATTTTAAATTAACCCACATTCCTTATTTACACTCTGCCATGTGGTGGTACCTTTACTAGCATTGCACATTCATCTCCTGCTCCCTCTGTGTCTGGCTGGCGACTCCTGACTGCAATTCTCTCCTTCCCATCATCCCTAGTTTGGTCACCCCGCCTATGCTTCCTACCTGGCTACTGGCCAATTGGCGTTTTATTAAACCAATTCAAGTGAAAAATCTTTACAGTGTACAAGAGGATTATCCCACAGCACCTCTCCATGTATTAAGGCTGGGGCAAGGTGACTCAATATAAAGAATAGGGTTCCAAAAGTCTGTAAAGGAGTTGGAGACAGCCCCTGTTCCCACGGTTAGGAGTCCCATGCCAGGACCAAGCTACACAACTGTAACATATATGCAGAGGGCCCAGGTCAGTCCCATACAGGCTCCCTGGTTGCCAGTTCAGTCTTTGTGAGCCTGTGTGAGCCCAGGTTAGTTGATTCTGTGGGTTTTCTTGTAGTGTCCTTGACCCCTCTGATTCCTACAATCCTTCTTCCCTCTCTTCATCAGGACTCCCTGAGCCCTGCCTAAGGTTTGGCTGTGGGTCTACATCTGTTTCCATCAGTTGCTGGATGAAGCCTCTCTGATAACAATTGGGTGTAGGCACCAATCTGGTACAGGAGATGGCCAGATCAGGCTACATATCTGCTATTGCTGGGAGTCTAAGCTGGGGTCTTGTAGATTCCTGGGAGATTCCTTTGAGCCAGGTTTTTCCAGTAGTCTCTTTCAGTACTCTCCCCTCCCCCCACAACCTGGTCATGACTGAGGGTGGATGGGGATGGGATCATGAGTGATCTACATGGCTTTTTAATGTAACTTTAGTTTTGGCTAGCTGTCCCTTACCTCCTCTCTCTCCTAACCCCTTCCAAGCCCCACTTAAATCATTGGATCTCATTATTCTCTCCCACACTTCATTTAAGACCTCTTCTCCCTTCCCCTATAATGGCCTTTCTCTAGCATCCTGGCCTCTACAGACACTCAAATTTATTTTTCCCTTTCTTTTCCTCTTTCATTCACTTGTTCTGTTTTGTTTTGCTTTCTTCTTTTGAGTAAAACCAAAACTTATTATAAGCCACAGTCATCCTAGGGTCCCCCTTCTATATATATAGCCTCCATGATTCTGTGGGTTCAGATGCTCAAATTTAAATAAACAAATCCAAAGCTAAGGTCTACCTATGAGAGAGGACATATAATCTTTGTCTTTCTAGGCCTGAGTTATCTTACTCAGTATATTTTTCAGTTACATCCGTTGTCATGCAAATTACGTACTTACTTTAATTTTTCTTTACAACTGAATAAAATTTCTCTCTCTCTCTCTCTCTCTCTCTATATATATATATATATATATATATATCCCTGTTTCATTATCCATCTATTAATCTAATCTAGTCTGATTCCTTTTCTTAACTATTGTGAATATAGCCACAATGAACATGGATGTGCAAGTATCTCTGTAGTGGGATATGGCATTGTTTTGATATGCACCCAGGAATGGTATAGGTGAGTCATATGGTACTTCTAGTTTTAGCTCTTTGAGAAACCTCCACGCTGATTTCCATAGTGGCTTAATCAGTTGATATTTCCTGTGTAAGCCAGTGGATAAGCATTCCTTTCACCATAGCCTCACCAGGATTTCTTAAGAAAACAACTGACAACAAAGGCTGTTGAAAATGAAAGCATATGTTTAGGGGTTTAAGGACACCTCAAAGTTAAAGGGTTACTACAGGAAAGGGTAACAGCACTTTATGTATGTTCCTATGGTGAAGAAGTCCTGGAAGGTGGTTTGAGTGGACTCGTCCAGAGTTGACCACTACCACCTATTTTTCTTTCTCTTTTTTTCTTTATAGATTATTTTTAGAGCCCTGACCTGGCCCATCTAGAGGGACAATTACCACCTATGTTTACAATCATGTTTTATTAAACCTCCCACCAAATAGATTCACGTCTTGTTTTCTGGGTCCTGAATGTGATCTGTCTAGACTGACCATCACCACCTATTATTGTTCCTTATGGGCCAGTCATTCCCTACAAAAGTTAACCTCCTGCCTAATAACATTATTGGGTTTTCTTGTAATGTAGGTCGTGGAGTGAGTAAAGGAATCTTAAGAAATCTGTCTTTCAAATATAGAGGGAAAACTATCTACTTTTATTAATGCAATTTCAAAATTATAAACAATCCTAAAACAGGAAAAATTCCTCTCACCATGTAGCAGACTATAGTTGACAACTCTGCTTAGAGATGTGTAGGACTGATGTGCTGGAACATTTCTAAGAATATATGGTATACATGTTTGAAATACTTTCTGATTCTAAGGCTTATTTAATTAAATTTATTTTCTAATAGATAATACAAACATGAGGCCCAACATTCAAAATTCAAGAGTTTATATAATCACAGATTTGAGGGGCAAGAAATATGATGGATCAAGCCTGCAAGGAATTCATAGAACAGGGACTGGTGTTGGTTCATTGATAATAAAAGGTTTTTTTTTTTTTTTTTTTTTTTTGGTTTTTCAAGACAGGGTTTCTCTGTGTAGCTTTGCGCCTTTTCCTGGAACTCACTTGGTAGCCCAGGCTGGCCTCGAACTCACA